AATAATAAAATAAATAATAAAATACAATATCGGAATAATAAACTAATAAAATAATAAACTGTTCTATAACAACATGATTGATTATAGCCAGAAGGTATTATTGTTGCGATTTTTCCAAGTATTTGGAATATGATTTGGTTTTCGAACTGTTTACAATCCTCTACTAATTTTTGTAATGGCTCAAAATTCTTTTCGATGCTATCAAGCTATTTGTTTGGATTCGATATCTTTTTTTCAAGAATATTTCTTGTTTCATCCAACAAATTGATAATTTCTTTTTTTGAGTTTGGAACAAAATTAGATCTTGATTATCCTCAGCAATATCAAAATCTGTTAAACACTATTCAATAGATTCTTGTTGCTTATGAACTTGATTTGTAGAGATCTCTTGAATGTTGGATTGCGAAGTATCTTCATATCCATTTCTCACAACTAATTTATAAGTATTTAGACTTTTAACAATAGTATGCAAATCTTCAGACAAATCAGCAAAATCATTTTCATCTTTGATCTTCAATAATGGATAAAACTCTTGATGTGTTACCTTAAAATAAAAAGAATTAATATTTTTAAGATACATAAACAACTAAATAATTGTCTTTTACCTTTCTAAAAAATTCTGTCTCAATAGGACCATAAAGCTATACTAAATGCTTACACAAATAAAAATGACTTAAAAAAAAACTTTAACATGAACATATCCAACATAAAGAATCAGTAATATTGTTATAGAGTGGAAGCCTTCTTATTTCCACACTACAACAATGACACAGCACAAGGAATCTTTTACAAGTATATACGGTGTCCAAGAGGGAAGTATAGCTTCTGTTAGACATTATCAAGAAACTATACCCATCTCTGAGGCAGTTCAATAATTATTACATAGTAGTTTATATTTAAAGTCATTTATTAAAGAATAACAAAAAGGATGATCCTTAGGTACCTGTCCTAAAGGATTCAAGGTATAATTTACAGGATAAAGAAGAAGGAGAATTGTCTGTTTCTATCAACTTGATTGTTCTTTATTGTTATTTTTCACTTGGGGAAATTTAGAGGGTTTATATATTTGTGAGCTAAGCGGCTAAGAGACTAAGGAACCAGTTTCACTAAGAGACTAAGCAACCAGTTTTACTAAGAGACTAAGGGACCAGTTTCACTAAGAGACTAAGTGACCAGTTTTACTAAGAGACTAAGTGACCAGTTTCACTAAAGGACTAAGCGACCAGTTTCACTAAGAGACTAAGTGACCAGTTTCACTAAGAGACTAAGCGACCAGTTTTACTAAGGAACTAAACGACCAGTATTACAAGCTTAAGGTATTAAAATCTTTAAAACATTAAAGCAATACAATAATAAAAATCTATCTTATAACAATATAAACAGAATTAATGTTAATTATTCATATAGCTAAATTTTTCCATTCAAGCCAAAATTCTTCTCACCAATGTGATATACATCGATTATCATGTAACAATTGTAAATGATCAATTTGATGAGTTATAATCTTTGTGACAATAATATGAATGATTAAATCTAATCATGCTTGATTATAATTTGAAAAAAAATTATGCTTTAGGGTTCACCAATGACTTTCAATAGCTATTGTAGTTCATAGAATATTAAGCTTTGGCCTTGAAGCATGTGGCCACAGTTTTCACATTTCTGGTTGGTACCACTCAGACTACAAATAAGCTCAAACATAATTTAAATTATTTTTATAACAATATTCATATTGTTTCTTGACACTTTCATTCCAAATTTAACTTGCATTAAAAAAATTTGGTGAATGTTCTACTGGTATTAGTGGGTGCCACAAAAAATGAATACGAACCATTTGAAGTATTATTTCATGAAAGTTCTTTTGACAAAAGATTTTTGTTTTATTATTAAATTGTTCCTGAACTGGTTGTCATTCAGGATTTATCTCTTAAACTGTTTGAAATTCAGGGCAAATTTGCCCTTAATTTTACTATAAAAATACTTCTGATCTATTTTTTCAAACAATAGATATATTTAAGTAAATTTTTTTTTGGTAA